TTCGTTTTTGATTCTAGAATTTTTAAAATAAAATAATGTTTTTTTGAAACCAAAAAATTTTAAAAGAGTTATAAGACCTTATAATACTGAGTTCGTCACACTGAACAAAATCCACCAAAGTCAATGAATTCAGAGTACGAAGTTCTTTTAAACTTACTCTTCCTTTTGTATAAACTTTTGTAGGTATATATGTATAAGTATTTGTTCACATTTCAATTAAAGATGTTCTGTTTACAGCCTTTACATTCCATGAAACAGCGTACATCTATAATAAGGCTATCCATGAATTGAAATGGAGTGATAGATTTCTATATTGCTAGTGGAGCTCCACTATTATGTACCCGGGGGATTATGTATTACCTATTTTTTTATATTATAGGTCATGCAAATAATACTGAAGAACCGCGAACAAAGAATATTAAAATTTCTCTCCTTTTTTATGACACTTGAAACCAGGCTTACCAGACTATCGAGAAAAATGGTTGGAACTAGCGCGGTAAACTAGTGTGAGCTGCGTCGGTGTTTCTAAAGAAACAGTTGTATAAAAAAGATAAATTTAACACCGTAAAAAAGTACTAGGTGAAAAAATCCTATAAAACCAGAATATAACCCCCAAAATAACAAAAATATCGATGTTGAAAATGGCCTAATTTGAAGAGATTTCAACGGCTTTTGGCCGATAATCGCCATAGGAGACCTGGAGCCGAATCTTCTCGATCGTCTGGTAAGCCTGTGCACTACTTTAAAATCACTGTCACTTAAATCCCAGGTGTAAATCAAAAGAGATCGTCCCATGTAAGAGAATCCAGAGCTAGAGGGTCCCGGATTCCAAGATTTCGATAATACTTTAACTACTTTAGGTAGAGTTTATTTTTATTCTATATATAAAAACTGTCTAATTCAGTTCAGTGTCTTTTACCAGCCTCCCATCCCTAGTCAATTCTTGATGTAACAGATTCCTTAGGGATAAACCAAAGGTCATGCACGTGCCTCGTGACTGACACTATAAGAACGAAGGTAGTTACACAACGCTTTCAGTCCGTTCCATGCTGTCGTGTGCATCATTTAAACTCAGACCAGAGAGACCTTTCTTGCACAGTAATCCCATAAACTCTCGGTAAGTTAACCTGTTTTAAACAATTATTAATGCATGGTCTCTTAGAGCAGAATAACTTTGTTGGTAGGCTAAAATAATGATCCTTCGGTATGTATTTACTAAAGCATGAAATGAAGCTGAAAAGTCATTGTCATTGAAATCATTGTATCTAATGACCAAATAATGCAAAACAAAGCTAGAGTATTATGGAAAAATCCTTGTTCTTGTAAAGGGCGATCATGGCAGTGCTTATTACATGTTTTACATCCACAAACCATAATTATTACGTAACGGTCATTATTACGTAACGCAGGACATGCAGCTATTGCTGAGAAAGATACCATTCTTTTCTTTCGATATATGCACAAAAGTGGTTATCGATTCTCATAATCGAAAATAGAATTATGAATTTAGCTTTGCTAGATGAGATCTCGTGTTAGATGAGATCTACATGACACTGATGACACAGGTAGCCCAAGCTCTAAATCTGTCATTTTCACCAATACTACTATACATGCTTGTAGATTTTGCTTTGTATTTATGTAAAACTTCCAGCTATTTTAATTGAGTATCGAGCGTGTTCTTGATATTTGTTCACTGGAGCTCTATAGTGACAATCATCTAAGTCATCGGTCCACACTCAAACCAACACACACTAACCTAGTCGAGATCATTAAGATTTTTGACATTYTTAAAAATATATTTAAGCAATAAATAACTGCACAAGTTTTCGTGCGTTCCTGGTGAAATAAACCACGCGGTATGTTGGGGGAACACGAAAAAAGGGCCAAAAAATCTCGAGCCGGTGGCATCCGTGCGTTTACCGGTGAATTTAACAACTTTTGACCAATCAGAGAGCGCGTAGTATGATAGCTATAATATAATTATTAATTACAAACATCATCCTTCATCCATTGCAACATATGCTAATCTAATCTGACTCTCCAATTGGTTTTTAACCTACAGATCATGAAAGCAATACTTTTGCTGTCAGTGTTTGCTGTTTGCAGTGTTGCCATGGATGAAGGGCCATCATTCTGTCGTGGATTAGACTGCCCACACTTTACAGTTAAGAAGAACACATCAGATTACCAGGAACGGTGCTATCAAGAATACAAATGGGTCTCGACTGTTGTCGCAGGTAACATTTGACGCGCTCATTGAAATTGTAGCCTGAGTATCGAGCTCGCTGAGAGAAAAATACGAGGTAAAAAGGAAGTTGTCGAATCTACTCAATAGATTACAGACTTCTTATTATCCTAATAGGAGTTCATAATATCACAGGAGAGCAGTAACACCTAAATATGATGACATTTAACTGGATATCAAGATATTGATATATTATTTATAAAAATTTTCAAATATTTATGACGTCATTGTGGTGTCATATAGAACGAGGGTAAATTTTTAAATGATAAATAGATGATATTGYAGCGTTCTGTATAACATCCCAGGCATTTTATTAGTCACAGATGGCAAAAAAATAGCCCAGTCTGAATCGGGGTTAAAAAGAAATGGAAAATCTGGACCCCGTTTTTAAAAATCACGAGATTTTTAGCACTGTTGATGGCTTTTCAGATAGCACTAGACCAATCACCCATCTTTCCTAGTTACATCAATGATAGAAAAGGAGTTTTCTCTTGCTGGTTCCTGCTGTGATAGATATTCTCTTCTTTCATTTTCAGGCTACACATACAAGAAGGCTGTTGGCATGGGATTCATGCGTTTGTTTGATTACATCGAAGGACAAAATAACAAATCAGCGAAGATACCTATGACAGCTCCTGTTCTCGTTCAGATCCAGCCAGCTCAGGGACCATACTGCAAAAACAACTTCACTGTTAACTTCTTTGTACCATTTGCCATGCAAGAGAACCCAATTCCTCCTACTTCGAAAGAAGTGTTTGTCTCTAGCCTTCCTGAGATGTGTGCCTATGTGAGGACCTATGGTGGTTTTGGATCAAACACTGATGATATACTAAAGAATGCAGCTGATTTGTCGGAAGCTTTGCTTAAAGATGATTTACAAGATACTTATCATAAAGACTTTTATTATTATGCTGGTTACGACAGTCCCTTCCAATTATTTGACCGCCATAATGACATCTGGTTTATGAGGAAATGAAAACTTCCTATGAAGTTAGTACGCCTGAAATATCYAAATCAGGTKTTTCCGAGTTATAGAGTTCAGTGTTGTAGATATTGTTCTATTATTCAGCACGGACGAAAATCGTCGTGATCTGTAAAAAACTCAATTATAACGAGTAATATGTGATTGAATATTAAATGTTATTATTGAAAAGAATCGTCTTTAACAGTGTGTGGGCTTCATTAGTGTTATCTAAGTTACTTTTGAAGAAGTGCGCAAACCACAAATWTTGAAAATTACAATGGTTGGAACTAGCGGTAAACTAGTGTGAGCTGCGTCAGTGTTTCTAAGGAAACAGTTGTGTAAAAAGATAAATTTAACACCGTCAAAAAGTAGGTGAGAACAAGTTACTGACGTTAATCCTTCGTCRGAGTAAAGAGATAGAACTAGTCTATGTGCGAGTTTATATTATAAGAGGAGCAAAGAAAGTAAACAAATAGGAGCAAGGTAGGCATGGTAACGAGAAACAAACATTAAAAAAAGAGATTAGAGGTGGTACATTCAAACTGATCATTGATTCTGAGTGATGACTTGGGAACAACAATGAAGAGTGTTCGAGACAATGTACGGTCAAATGATATGTCACACTTTTTACGTGAGCAACGAAAAGTACCAGGATCGTTATTAGAAGGAAAAACACCTTTGACTAGGAAAGACTCATCACTCAGAATCACTGAGCATTTTGAATGTACCACCCCTCGCTACTGCGGACACTAAAAAACGGTCCTGAGGGTGTATACGATAGCGAGAGTTCACTTTAGTACAAAACACTTTGTTTTCTACCATGTTTCAAGGTTTATTATAAAGTGTCTCTGAAGTTYCTTTAAGTGTTTTGAACCAAAATCTCAGCAGTCTCTCGCAATCGGCGAATGTGCGCAGATGAAGTTTAAAAGGTCCTAAATTACATTTTCTGAGTTAACTTGCTGCTCAGAAAAGCATTTCTCAGGAATTCAGATTTTCTGGATTGCCTGCGACCCTCAGTCTTTTTAAAATAATTAAAGAGGAAGTAGCTACAATTGTAGCCTGCGTAGCGCCTCTAGGGGAGGGGAGACGCAGAGGGGGAAGGGGCGTTGCTTTTTCCCCTCCCCCCCTTAGAGCCGCTACGCAAGCAAAAAGACAAAGCGTGTGAATACCCATGATCAATTTTTAATAACTACTAATACTCGTTATTACAACATTTGATAACATTGTTGTGAACAGTTTTATCTTATTGAAGGTTTAACAGTTCCTTGGAGTAAAGCTGACGGTATCTATTGCAATGTCACTACTACCCTGACCACCAACGATTCCCTCGATCACGATCTGTAAAAACCAAAAAAACCAAAATACATTTCATTTGTACGTATTGACGCTGTGATCCTGCTAAATCCAGGTATTTAAAATCAAGAATGGAACGTGGATGGWAACGGAATCCAAATTAGTGACAGCAAATACTCACGGTTTAATTTGTTACTCGTTTGAAAATACTCGATTTTCGATTTAAAAAATACCAAAAAAAATGTTGTGGACTACAATACTTCTTTGCATCTTTTCATTAGTATAGTCTAACTGAATTCAGGGTTAGTCTCATTTTGGATCGTGCTTGGAACTATTTGATATTAATTATATGACATGTATGAAAATAAAATAAAAGAACACAAAAAATTGTCTATAGAAACTAACTGAACAAGGATGGGATAATGATTTTTMTCTGAATATAAAGAAAACAAAACAAGAATGAATGAATGACTGACTTACTCGAGTTTTTTCATTCCCATTGACAAAAATCGAGGCAGTCTGCCAGGAAGTGCCTTGACTTGAAGCTTTCGTCAGGACATTTGTCCGTGTGGGGCTGGACAGAGTTTCTTTGTACACATTGAGGGTTCCAACTTGTGTACCGTACATATGATACCAAAATTTAAAGCACTGGCCTATATAACGAAATGGATTATGGGATTTAATTACATGAGAAGCGCGGTTTCACTAACGCAAGGGTAGGGTATGGGAACGAGAATTCCAGTTGTTTCCATACCCTCCGCGCGCTCTATTTATATAACTCTCTTAGGAATAATTTTGTCATGCAAGCGCAAATAGTCATGAATATGACTAACAAAAAAGTATAGTCAGTCAAGGGATAGGGCAATAGGGCTTCAGGAGGGTCTGGATGTACACCAATGTACGTACTGTYACCCCTAAGTTTAATATATTAACAAATGTTATGCAAGAAAATGAAATTTGTGATATTTTACGCTTAAATCATTATTTCGCCGGCGTTTTTCCTTTTAAAYTACTATATTGTGCCAAAATACTACCTTATAGAATGTAATTAGTTAGAGAGACTTTGGTCAGATTAAAATGATAGTCTTCTTCRTGGTTCCCTGAGCATCTTGAAATGTAGCCGTGCCTTTACATCGAAGCGAGACGACCGTTTGAGCGAATAATTAACACTTATTTACTGGAACCGAGGGAAACAGTGCGTTTTGTGGTCCCGTGACCGCTGATGTTTCCCGAAGCGAAGCTGATGGAAACATTAGCGGTCGAGGGACCGCAAAACATACTGTTTCCCGAGGTTTCCAGTAAATAAGTGCTTTATTATCATATATTATTATCATATTTATATATCAAATTTTCCTCGTGCAAATATGATTTCTTAATTAGACAGCATGGAGACCTATTTCTTATATATCCCCATATTTCACCTCTTTTGGATTAAGAGGTGGACTATATAAAGAAAGTAGTGAAGGAGTTAAGATTCATTCAAACCATACCAGAAGCACCAGGGTTGAAGTATGGACTGGCAATAAGGGCCTTGTCTCCATTCTTTCTCGGGCTAGCACTGTTGATGTACATGTAGAAACCTAGAAACATGTTTTTAATTGGACATCAGTTGTTTGTGATCTTATGACGTTATGCTCTAAACTACCACTAAGGCCAGCTAAATAAATTAATTTAAGACTATAAGAATCGAAATTTAATGATAGTATTTGTTGATATTGGTGTTGGCTAAGAATWTGCATTGACGTTTATCTCTACATGAATGAAGTCAAAAATATTGAACAAAAACTAAAAAAAATGTTCACTGAAAAACATTATAAAATCAATTTGATCTAAAAAGCAAGAATTAACGTCGATTTAAGAGTACTTAAATACCTATGACTCCTGAGACAATAATTGTTGGTTTTATGTRTAAGTTAATTGAATGGTGAAATATTATTTTATTTCAATGATGTGTCTTGAGTTGTCGAGGTTCAATCTTTCAATATGCTAATGACGTCAAGAAAGGCTTCATTAGATATACAAATTAACTTGCTGTCGTTCAARAGCATTATACAGTGTAAATAAGTCTGTATGAATTATTGTAATTGAATACCGAGCACAGCTGCATAAGCCCGCAATGCAAGTTACTATTAATGAAAATTCTCGAAACTTGATTGCTTTCTATGGAAGATCTTTAGACTGCCATGGAAATCATGAAAACTCCTTTTGAGGGGGYGATARAAACGACAAACAATGCATTTCGGTCTTGCGTGACAATCGTTCAACAAATGGTAGTGTAATGGAAATGTGCATGTATGTGTAATACCTCCACTTTGATCAGATGAAGGTCCAGTGCCTGAGTTACCAGTAGAACCTGAATGGCTTAACCAATACATATCGCCCTCAGGCAGGTCAACCCACGCACAGTCAGTACTGTCAAATAAACAAGACTTCTTGGAAGCTAAAATAATCAAGGAAAAAATGCAATCATCAAATCSRCAGTCTGCAGAAATATGTACCCAGGCTCCCCAGAACACTACGCGTTTTCTATGAATATTTCATGTTCAATGAAAGCAAYTTACAACCGTACCTGGATCATTTTTAGAAGGCCACAGTTTACCGCAGGTCTCCCTACCAACAGTAATATCGTCAATGGCGATATCTCCCTTATCATGGTGGCCACGAACACCTTCGATGATTATCTACATTTGAAACAATATCACCTTTAKATGAATACATCTGATTGCGAAACTTGAAGCACCTTCTSTTGTCCATATAGCTACGTCTGTTTGTTGCAGTGTAATTTTTGCCCGGCAGAAACTTTCAAATATATATGAATCTCTTCTGAATGTTTTGGCGATAGAATATTACGCAAACAACGTATTTTTACGACATTAAAAGCAAGCAGCTCAGGGAATGCCAGCTGCCGCATTGTAAGGAGCACCATTGAAATTCAAAATGAAAATACCCGAAAACGRCCAACAGATCTCCACTATACCTTTTCTCTAAGAAAAATAATTGGAATTTGCTAGAGTTTTGCAAAAATGTCAAAAGAAAAAAAATTGTCATTTTGGAGAATCYTAAAGCATTGTGCTGCTTCATAAAATAATGTAAATTGATAACTTACATTAAATGATCCTGAGCCTTCAGTAAGTGGTATTGTACCATGAAGCCATTTGTCACCTTCGTTTTTATTAGCAGACCACAGCAATATCTCTTTGGAGGACGTTTTCTTAATCACATTCAACTGCCAAACATTGATGCCGTTCATATGGTACCATAGTGACATGCACCTAAACCCTTCACTGAACGTCTTGCTTACCAACCGAGCACGCTGTCCAATGGTATGCGGTGAAGAGGTCTCAATGTATGCATAGTGGCCTGTTCTGCTGGTGTGATCGCCGCTTGGCCCAGTATACTCAGTCTCTGTCGAACCACTATTACGAGTCCAGTCAAACTGTCTATCTTGTGATGCAGAATTTTGCCAGGTTCCAAAGTCTTTTTCAAAGTCGGTAAAATCTTCRACTAACCAATGAGCGTTAGATGTTAGTTTTTATCGTTTTAAATGATTTTTTTTAAGTAAAAACTAAAAGTAAGATCAATTTAAGCCCAATCAWAAGCAAAAAAWMWTATAGATCGCGGGAAACCACGGAAAATCACAGAAAATCACGRAAAARAAAAACAACCGAAAACCACGGAAAACRGTTTAATCCAACACACAAATGGRGTTTGCCCCTTTTATCCACGACCGCTAGTTTTTCTTTGTTCCCAAAGTAATTTAAACAGAAGAAATAATCACCCGGTTCAACAGGTCCTCCCCGCTTTACAGGAGAAGGAGTTGTATTTGGTTGTGGGTTGACGTCCGTAGGGTTGTCACAATTTCCCCACAATAAGCTAACGTCATCAACTGCAATGTCGGACACAAACTGAGTTCCACGGACAGCCTCAATGATAACCTGAAAATAAAGTACAGTCAGCACTCGCCGCTGTATGCGGGGATTAACAAATTGTTGTTAAGATATAACATGATTCTTAAAGAGAGCAGCGTGTTCAATCTGTACACCGACTATAGTAGTGTGTTTATTTTTGTAAAGACGTATATTGTATTTTCAGTTTTTTTCTCATGTTGTGTAAGCACCCAAAGTTTAACCTTCGTTCCTCTGTCTTTCACACTGAGCATAACCCAGGAATTTCACGGATACTAGTTTGGCTTTATTATCCGTGAAATTCCTGGTTTATGCTTGTGAAAGACAGAGGAACAAAGGTTTAACAACTGTGCATGGTTCTTACACAACATGAGATTTTCAAGGTCTTTCGAAATCAAAATAAGGAACATTTCAAAGATTTATTTCTGTTAATCTCTTATTTTGAGCTGCGCATGAGGATCTATGCTGTCCAGAATAGGCGTATGGTTCTATTAATAGTCAAGAACAGACAACATGATCCCTAAGAACATGTATTATTGACTACTTACCATGTAATCGCTCGAACTGGAGAAAGTCACTTTTTCAGAATGCCATTGGTTGCCTTTGTTACCAGAGATAGTTTTTAATGTCCTTTTCTCACCAGTTTTCACTTGTTGTATCTTTACATTCAAAGTGCCCATGTAATTTGCACCGTTATAATAATCGTACATGTGATACTGAAACTTTAAACAGCGCTCACTGCTTAAGCCTGGCTGAACGGGACTTTGAAGTATGGCGTTTGTGCCAGAGGCAATGCCGCTGGCTTCAAGATAGATATAATAACCTAGAAGAGAATGGAAAATAAAGTYCTTCATCTGCACTAATATAAGCGAAAATAACCCTGAAACTCAAGTTCGCAGTTTGATCATGTTAGTTCTATCCACTGAAAAGTAATCTCTACACGAATATCATTAGCCAAAATCCCTGCACTCTCTGCATATCCATAAATCTCAGTCATAGCGTGCTTTGCAGTCAAAAACTCATTAAAAGTATCCTAAATAATTTAGAAAACTCGAATCATTAACCTTAGTGTTTAGGTGAGGATAAAGTTATCTATTCTTTTGCGACTATTGGTGTAGTATTTCGCTTAGCCGTCCATACGCTGTCGATATTCTACTTGAATATAGTCTTTTTGAATAAAAGTGAAAAGAATAGTTTGATGCCATTCGGTTAATTTTTGCCTATCTCTTTGCTATGTCAATTGCTGATWACTATAATTTTTATTCTAACCTGACCCATCCAATGAAGTAGTGTCACGTGACGGCCCGGTTTTTGAACTTGGAGTGTTAAATTGRTGACGAATCCAATTGGTCTGTCCAAAAGCGCTTCGCTTCCAGGTGCAGAAATCTTTAGAGAAACTGCAACCATCGGGACCTACGTGGAAACAATTACTAAAGTAATTGAAAAAGAATATCTAAACTAAACGCGMTTTAGTGGTCTTTTCCCGAATAGAGTGCACGCCAAAAAAAGCGTGAAAGAATTCTTAACAATCAACAACTAATAAGATTTCATTGTTATTTGCAGTATTTTATTTAATTTCGTATTATATTTGCATGATGTTCTCTTGGAAAGTTTGCAATTTCGCGGCCGATTTGCAGTGCGCTTGTTGCCGCAATAATAGTGGCTGCTCATCAAGACGCTGTTCTTTTTCGTCAAATGTTTATAGTGTAGAAATGTTGTTATGTAGCTGTTGTTATTTTCCCGTGTATAGATTAGAAAAGTTGGTCAATTGTTATGTGGCAACCGTATTTATCGGGAAAGATGTCATGTAATATTTATAAGGCAAATATRATTAATTGTCACATATCGAAAATTGTCCGTGTGAACGAACACCAAGTAACTCAAGGGAAGGGGGTTGCGAGAAAGCTGAAAAAACAATCGTTTGATGATGAAAATCACCATTTTATCAAAATAATAGAAATGCCTTTTTGCATATGTATATATTCTTTCTACATACCATCACTGGATAATAATAAATTTGATGTAAATGATTTCCATTAAATTTACAGAATTTTGGACAATTACATCTTCATATTTACATCAAATTTACAACCTTTAAAGCGCGCGATTTTTTCCAGTGATATGGAAAAATTCATCAAAAAACTAAAAAAATGCTCAGCGATAATATAAAAGCCGGAGCTGTATAAAATAGAAGATAACAGAACAAACTACTGTTTTTCCATGATGTAATATTCACTACAAACATTTAATCTGCCACGCACTTGTATAGTAATATCACGAATCTGTAATTTTATACTCTAGCGTCAATTTTAAACTCGTACTTTTAAGGTGTTTCGATCGTAATAAATAGCGCTTCGCGCGTATTTTTATCATTAATTTTTGGATAACCTGATTGATATACTGACGAAGTTTCAATAAAATCTTAACCTAAAATTTCGAGTTGTTTGAGCAAAATGATGTACATTCGAACAAATCCAGATTTTAGGTTAAGATTTTATTGAAACTTCGTCAGTATATATCAATT